GAAGGCTGAGTTCCATCCTGCCCTGCACAGCCAGACCTCAGGGGCTCTCAGCCTCCCGGGTGGAAGGGAGGTGGGGCTGGAGCCAAGGGCCCACCAGCCAACCAGCCCCAAAGCCACAGGGGCTTCTCGCCCCGGGGGAGCAGAGTGATGGCCCACATGTGTGTGCATGTGTGCACATGTGCGCATGAATGCACAGGTCTTGACGAAGGCAGGGACATGCTTGGGGAGGTGGTGCCTGGGGCTCTGGCAGGTGGGACCTCACCGCCTCATCCTGCTTAGTGGCTCCACCAGGCGGGCGGGAGCTGGTCCAAGAGGGAGACACCCGAGAGGCCCGAGTGCGCTCTGCCCTTAAGCTGCAGCTGTTTGATGTGGTTCCAACTCATTTGGTGCATCACCCGGGATTCCAAAGGGCCATTAGCAGAAGACAATCCCATCTCCCATTTCCATCTGAATCAGTTCCAACATCAGGGCCTCTGCCAGAGGGTGAGCCCACACGCACATGCACTTGCACATGCAAGTGGAAGGAACTCATCACCACCACTTCCCTGGAGCCAAAGGTGCGTGGATGGAGGCAGGCCCACGAGGCGGCCTCCAGGGACACGCTCACACGCATGTCTCACACTCTGACCAGCCCCCCACCTAACCGCTGTCCACCTGAACAAGCCTGTGGGGCCACCTGGCAGTGCCGCAGTGGCTTCCAGGCCTGTGGCCCACTGGATGGGGCAGCCCACACACACACTCACAGAACGTGGCTGGGCTGCTGTGGCCCCATCTGGCTGGGAGAAGGCAGGCTAGTGGCCCCTGCTGCTTGCCCCCTACCAGGTGCACCCCCTGCCCCCCACAGCGGACCAAGAGGGGCCCAGCCAGAGTCCCACGTCAAGGAGGGGCTCAACCCCTCCAACACAGGGGACGCCAGCCTGCCTTGCGGGCCAGTGGCGGTGCCTGCAGCAGCCCCAGGGTCCCACCTGGCCCGACCTCCCTCACGGGCCGCGGCCCCACCGGCCTGCCCGCTCCCTTCTCTCCGTGACGGTCCAGCCCCGCTTCCAGGCATGGGGCACCTGTTGGCCTCCACCGGCCCTGAGTGTGCAGCCCAGGGTGGAGCAAGGCTGACGGGCAGCCTGGTAGGGCCCGGGGTAGGTTCACCTGGTCTCCACTATTGCCAGAAGACTGCCTGAGGCTCCCCAGGGAGGAGCTCGTTCAAACAGCCGCTGACAGTGCAAGTGTGGAAAGCCCGATCCCAGGCACTGCTGCTGGAGCAGCGTGCTTCTCACGGGATGGTGTGCTTGGTGGCTGGGTGGTCAGGCAGAGGGCCCTCAGGGCCAGCCTCCTCCTCCCGCGGCCACGAGACTCAAGAGGCCGTCCCTGCGAAGCCTGAAGACTGCGAGCCGCACTGCGCTCTGGCCCGGGTACACAGCCTGCACTCTGCATTTCAACCTTGGGTTCCTTTTGCTTACAAGGTCTTGGCTTCACATGAGATGATAAATTTACTCAAAATAGAAGCAAGGGCAAAAGGGCACCACTGGGCATATCCCATGTCCTAAGGCCCGTGACGGAGCTTCCATCGCAGCCACCATTAGCCAGGACACTCACTCGGCTGCAGAAGTCCTGGGCATGGACTTGCCCTCGGCTCAGCCCAAGGCAGGCTTAGCCATCCTCGTGCAGACGAGGAAACCGGGTACGAGCCATGCTAGCATGACCAGGGCCCCTGACTGCTGAGGACAGCTGGGGCGGAGCCTCCTTCCTGAGGCTGCTGGACAGGCCGGACCACTGTGCTCTGGGAGAAGCTTCCAGGTGCTGGAGAGGCAGGGCAGAGAAGGGAGGGCACTGCAGGCCCACCTTGCCAGTAACAGAAAGGGCCAGGCAAGCCTCACTGTGGCTGGAGAGGGTGGAGAAGGGTTAGCATTGCCAAGGGCCAGCAGCCTAAAGCTGCTGGCGGGAAGCTGGGTCCCAGAGATGAGCCTGGGCCTGGGCTGCACAGGGGAGCTGTGGGCAGCTGTGGCAGGGCCTGCACCCTGTGGAAGACCAAGGGGCTACAGTTCTGTGGGGGGTGCTGACCGCGTGCCCCCCTTTCCAGCTGAGGGGTCGGGCCCCACCTCCTCACGCAGGTAGGGGGCAGCATGTCCTCAGACAGGAAAAGCCCTTGGAGATAGAAGCCCACGACCCCATGCAGAGACAGGCCTTGCCCTTGACATCAGGGAACTGCGGCTCTGGGGCACACACTCTCAGCTCTGCATCTGGGGGCTGCAGCGCTCCTGGACACGCAGTCTACATGCCTGGCACAGCTGTGACTGTCGTCAGCCGCACCCAGGTCCTTGGCAGGAACCTTCCTTTCCCAACACCTGTGAGGCGCCTGCAGGGGTTGGTGCACCCTGAGCAGCCTGGGGACCCTGCCTACGGGTCCCCAACCCTCCCCTAAAACCAGGTTGCTGGGGCTCAGGGGTGGCAGGTGTGTGTGACCAAGGCAGACAGATGACCTTGAGGGTGGGGCGGTAGGCCTCATGATGCGTGCAGGGCAGCCTCCAAGGGACGGGCTGGAGTGGCATCCGTCAGAGCTGGGCTTTGCTGAAGTGAGGGTGGCCACGGGGGAGTTCACACATGGACACAGGGCCCTGAAAGCACTGCTGGGTGGGGGTCTGTGAACAACTGCTGTGTCCCCTCTGCAAAGTGCAGGCCTGTGGGAAGGCACACGACCTGAACAGATTTGCGGGGCCATTAACGCCAGGCTCCCCAGTGCAGCCCAGGAACGCCATCCCCAAGCAGAGGGGTACATGTCCTGTGGGGCAGGGCCCACGAAGAGCATCTGTCTCCCCTGCAGTCAGACCTCCTCCTGGGGCTTGGCCAAGACCCGGGCCTACAGCCCTGCACCACCCTGGCCCCAGAGGGGAGCCACAGCATCCTGCAGCATTTCCCACAAAGCCACCGGGTCCTGACGGGCTCTAAACACTGGGAGGACCCATGGAGCAGGACTCACTTGCAGGATCTAAATGGCCTGCTGGGGATGGACAGTGACTGTGAAGGGGTATTTGGGGGTACTTGGTGAAGGGGAGAACCTAGTAAACATAATGTTCTTTCTGTAATTGTAGATTAATGATACCAAAAAAAAAAAAAACGCTTAAAAAAATAAAATAAACAAATAAGTAGAAATAAATAAATGGCCTGCTGGGGAAGGGCTGCACCCTGGCCCCCACCTCTCTCCCACAGCAAACTGGGTACTCTGCCAGGGTGACCCCACAGCACAGCAGCCCCAAAGTGCTCTGGCGTTCTCCTGGGCCCTGCCTCTAACACAGGAACACGTGCGCCAGACCAGAAGGGGTGAGAGCCCACAGCGCGAGCCTTGGCAGGTGGCCAAGGTCCTGCCACCAGGGCAGCAGTGTCCAGGGCCGGGGGTGGGGGTGGGGGGCAGGCCCTCTCTTCTGCGTCACTGCAGGGCTCTGAATCCTGTGAACTCCAGCGGAGGGATGGGAGGGCCTGAGACCAGTATGTGCCTCTGAACACCTGGCAATTTGGCCTGCGAGACCACATGGGACAAAGACGTGAGAGGCAGCCTGCGAACGCCATTTCATCAGCCTCTACAAGGGCCAGGCCGGGATGCTACGCTACCCACTGTGCCCCTCCTCCCAGCTGAGGGCCAGAGCCACACCCAGGCTGGCCCATTGACGGGACTTGGGCCCCAGAAGGGTGAAGGCTCCCACAGCCAGGGAACAAAACCCCAGAACTCCCCCTTCCATCCTTGGAACCACCCAGGCCAACAGGAAAGAGGGGGCAGACACTGCAGGGAAGGGTCCCAAACCCTCCAAAGGTGTGACGGAGAGAACTACCTGACTAATTAAAATCCCCAAGTGGGAAGATGCAGGATGCAGGATGCTGTGCCGCTGGCCCCGTGGGACGCCCTCTTCTGGCCTGCTTGCAAGGCCAGGACCCAGCTGGGGTCGGGGTACAGGGGCTGTGGGAGGGCCCCCATGGCAGGCAGGCTCCCTGGGCCTGGCTGTGTACAAGCACCTGGCTCATGCCCATGCCTGCTCCCCCTTCAGAGTTGGGCATCTAGAGCCAGGCAGAGGGGCCCACCTCCCTGGCCCCCAGTCACTCAGGTGCTGACCTCTGCAAGTCCCTGGGAGACACCAGCCGCCACCCCATCCTCTCAGCCCCCCGGGGAGCCAAGTGTGTCCTGCACAGGGAGGGGCTCTGGGCGCACACCCCAGCCCCCCAGGTGCCTGCCCCTGGGCCGATTTCACTGTGTGCATCACTGTCCCTTATCACCGCTGTGAGGCCCAGCAAATAACCACACTAAGGGTGGTCCTGGGAACCCCAACCCAATGTCTAGTTAGAGATCTTAGATCTTCAGCACGAGGGCTGGAAACCCCTCACCAGGAGAGCTTACAGTGCTGGACGAGTGGCCAAGGCCTTTGCCAGAACACTGGGGAGGCCTGGGCCCCTCCTGGCCTGGACCCGGGCCCTGGGTGGGGAGGCCCGGGACCGTCTCAGAAGGAAATCCCAGAGGATGACAAAGGAAAGCTGGGTGCCACTGTTGCCAAGCCAGTAAGCAGACCAGCAGAAGGGTCTCTGCACCGCTTCACATGCATGTTAAACAGCCCGATGCAGAGGCGGGCCGACCAGGGAAACCTGCACCACCTGTCCTGACGCCAACCAGCTGAGCATCTGATGGCTGCTCCTCCCGGGCGGCTGCGCACTCAGCCGCAGGACACGCTGTGAGGGGTGAGCGCCCCCACCCAGTGCCGGCCCCCCGCCGAGTGCTCTCGCTGGGCAAACCTGGGAGACTCAGCAATTCCAGGGGAAAGCAGGGAACAGAGGGGGAGGAACAGAGGAGGCGTGCAGGTCATCGCAACAGCCACACTGAGTGGCTCCTACGCTGGCACTGTGGCGCCCTGCACTGCCACCAGGGGCGGGAGGGTACCTGCTGTGGGGCTGCCAGCCTGCGCACAGCAGGAACCTGGCCTTGCAGTTTGTACCATTATACAGAAATTCGACAGAGAAAACTGAAGTACCGAATGGGGGAAAATATATCACTTTATTTTTAATGTAGTCACTAAACACCATAGGAAGAGGACACCATAGGATTCTTTTTTCCATTTAATAAATACAAATGAATAAAAATACTTTGTTTGCCAAGAGACTGCCTCTCTTCCTTCAGATTTCATGGAAGCCCCCGCGGGCCCCTGCTGACATGGCTCTGGCGGCCACACTCCATGTCCACGGACCACAGCCACCCCACAAACCACTCTTCCCCTTTGTGAGAGCACTCTCATTTGATATGCCTGCAATACTTCCAGGAACAATACCTCTTTCCTGATCCCCCCAATACACATTCTTGTACTGTATCAGGATGTTTAAGTGATTCCCTCGGGGAAGGTTTCCGGATGCCAGAGACGGAGCCCCTTCAGCCAGGCCTTGTCAACACCAACAAATCACATGGGAGGCCTCCTTCCCACGAGCTGTCTCATGAGGGGAGGACAGGCCAACGCTCAGTGAAATCCACTGCATGTCTTGCACACTGTCCCTTATTTCAAAAATAGAAATTTCCTATTTAGCCTGTCTGAAACAGGCCCAACAAATGATCTGAGACAGGTCTGTTATTGCTTATGGTGGTGCCCCTGGCACATTGCTGCTGAGTGGCCCATGCTGGGCAACATCCAGGACACATCGAAGTCGCATGCCGCAGTCAGTGCTCTGCCCCCTGCGGCGTGGGACCCGCGTGCCACACGCCCAGGAGCGCCGGTCACGTCAGGGGTAAGGCACGCTGCGTGCTCCCAGCTAATGGGATTTCCTTCCACCTGGTGTCGCAAGGAACAACCGTCCTAGCAGCTGAAGCTCTGCTGCCACCACAGTGGACGCCACAGAGCCCCCAGTTCAGATGGGAGAAGACAAACCCCCAGACCCAGAAGAGATCCAACTACTTGGTCTCCCATGTCCCTGTCCAGTAATGCGCTGGTGACTGAGACGCAAACGTCTGCCTGGGATAAACACGGTCAGGAAAACGGTCTTTACAACCAACAGCAACCTGTTTTGTACCCCGTTTTTCATTCACCCACATTTTAAAAAGTATTTATTTTCTGAAAGTGATTCTAAGTATGACAGTTTGTAAAACAACAAATGAGAAAGGAAATGTAAGGAAAACGCTTGCCTATAAAGCAGAGGCAAAACCCACACTTGCTGTGGAGACAAGGCCCCCTTCCATCGTGCCCTGGGAACCTGGCAGGTACCCCTCACGCTCTGGGAGGGAGGGGAAGCCACTCAGCGCTGGTGCATGGGCGCTTTGGCTGGGAGAGGTAGTGGTGACGGCTCCAACCGCCTGCATGACGGCCTCGCCAGGAATACTCTCAAAGGGCACCCAGCTGTTGTCATCCTGCAGAAGCCGTCGCTCCAGCAGAGAAGCCTGTCTGGACAGGGAAAGGTGGGGAACAGATGCTGTGGCTCTGCAAGCTTTGCCTTTTTCGTACCAGCGCAGACTGTCTCTGTCACCAAGTGTCCCGGAGAAGCAGCACTGGGAGCTACTTGGTGGTCCATCTGCATACACACGGGCGCAGCCTCAGAGCCCCAGGGACTTCTGCACAATCTGCTTGGCAATCCTACAGAACTGCTCCCGGTCATCCCGCCACATTTTGGAAGCATCCACGTTAGCTCCGCTTTCATCGTTGGGCTCTGAAAGAGAAGGAGACACTCTCCACGTGAGGGGGCTCCAGAAATGAGGGCTTGGCACGATCTTCCATTTCACTTAAAACACTGGAGGATCTTTCCAAAGATGTGTCCCAGAAACAAACAGAACGCTGGAGTCTGAAATATTAGAGAAAGAAGCCGGCTCTTCAAGAGCACCCAGGAGCCTCTGACCTAGGGGAGGGAGGCTGAGCAGCAGGCACAGGCCAGGAGCAGGTGGAGCTCGGGGTGAGGAGACCCACTCCCGTGAGCCCTGGATTGGAAGTGCTGCCCTGGGACACCAGGACGACCTAAGGACCAGTGCCCACCTGAGCGAGCCCGTGACCCGGCTGCTTGCCACCTCCTGGCCTTGGAGGGGCTCTGTGCAGGTCTCCCAACCCTCCCAGAGCCCTGGCCCGCCCGGCTCCCATGGGAGGCAGACGTGGCCCCACCATGGGCATCCGGCCTGGGGCCCCAGCCAGCTAGGATTTGAGTTGGCCCACTGAGATCAGGAGGTCCTCCAGAATTGGATTCAGGAAACAAGAGAGGCCACCGGGGCCTGCCAAAGTGCAGAAAACTGAAGTTACAGCGGCCGGGGACAGGCGGTCAGCACACCACCCTGAAGGGTTGGGCCAGAGCAAAGACAGCGGCCGAGAGGCCAAGGTGGCAGTGAGTAGGGCAGCACCCACTGTGGGCCAGAGCCGCTCCCCCACACCACAGCCTGCCTCCCTGCGCTGCCGTGGTGGCGTCCCTGTCCCCCTCCTTCCACTGGTTCTGTTCCTCCTCACCAGGTCTCAGTGTGAGGCCTCATGCTGGGCACAGGGCAGCATCATGGTGACGCAGGCCCTTTGAGGGCATATGTCCAGCGGGCTGCGGGCCGTGAGCTCCCCCACCAGAGGCCACCTGTGCAGGGAGAATGAAGCCAAGTGGGATGGTCGACCGTGGGTCCTCCAGGTCTCTCCACAGTGGGGCACTGAGGGGACCCCACCTGCAGGGCCCACAGGCACGGCCAGAGTCGGCCAGCTCCCAGGACACAGACAGAGCAGTCCAGACCACAGGGCACCAAGCAGGGCCGTGGGCCATGGCTGAGGGGTGGGGTCAGGTAGGAGAGGCTTGGCTGGCCAGCTGGGGGCTGAGGGAGCTGGAAGGGCAGCTGGGAGCAGAAGACGTGTATTCCCAGCAGAGTGTATAGAAAGGACGGCAAAACCTCACGGAGCTCACAGCACAAAGGCCCGTGATGGCAGGCTTCTGCCCTACCCACAGGCACGCGCTGAGACCCTCCACCACAGGCCTGGGACTCCACGAGCGGCCTGCTGAGGGCCTTCCCCTTGGCCCCGGCTGCACTGCCGCCTCCCTGACACCCTCATTTCTGCAGCCAGGTCCTTCCTACCTTCCCAGACGTTGGCTCCCCATGCTCCTTAGAGGTCCCCTCTCCTTCCACGTGCCCCTTCTACGTTACCCCCTTGGTCACCTACTGCCCCATCCAGGGATGACCCCACCCATGCCCTCACATCCACAACCGGGCCTCAGGGGAGCAGTCCCGACAGCCTCTGAGGATGGATACTCAACACCTCAAACTTTTCTCTCCGAGATCGTGCTCCCTCTAGACTCCTGACCCTCCACCCAGGCACTCAGGTCAGAACAGGAGAGTCACCCTGCACACCAGTGAGCCTGATCCTGTGGCATCCCTCACCCCTCCCGGCCCCAGATCGGCCCAGGCCTCTGACAGGTCCCTCTCTTTTCTCTCAGGCCAGGGCCACTTCTGACAACACAGCCTGCTTCTCCTCCACTCTGGGCGTTCTGTAAGGCCTCCAGGCACAGCCCCTGTGATGCGTCCCCCTAGGGGGGCAGCAGGGCTCCTGTCCCAGCTGGCTGTGCGCCACCCCAAGGCCTCTCTTGCCCTCCCTGCAACTTCTCACGTGCAAAACTCCTCCCAGACAGTCCACCTCAGGTGGTGGCCTAGAGCCTGTGTGCACCTGATCTTAGGTCCACCCAGCAGCCTGCAGCTGCTCGTAGATTTGGGAAGTTCCCTTAGGATGAGGCCTTAACAGTCAGGGTCTGTGTTACACTGAGCTGCATGCCCCTGTACAAGTGTCCAGTGTCTGCGATACAGCAGGTCCCCGAGCAGGGCCTGACGAAGGGCTCAGAGCACGGTTAACTCTGGTCACCAGCACAGCATGCAACACAAGGTCATATCCAAATTCCTGATTATGAAAAGTAACCCTACTCTTGGAGAAGTGTCCACAAATCACATTAAATGGAAAAGCAGGAAACAGCACATCTAACCCAAACAAAAATGAACAAAAGCAATGATGCAACAGGACCACAGCAGGCAGAGCTGCAGCCGTGGCACCCCGTGCTCTGGGAGGCCCGCTGCGCCACGGGGCATTACCTGCCAGCATGCTCACCACCGACAGGAGGATCTTCTCCACGCTCTGCACTGGGCTCCACCGCTCGGCACTGCTCTCATAGCCCATGGGGTCGTCGCCTGGGGCATGAAGGATGGAAATGCAGACTCTCCCATCAGGGTAGACTGCAGGGGTCAGAACACACCAGGTGAGCCAGGGCAGGGCACCTGCTCAGGCCCGAGAACAGGGAGCGGGTGGTGCAAGGCAGAAGGTGAGCTGGGTGTGATGGCACATGGCCTGTGTGCCGGGCAGCCCTACACATCACATCCACGTGGCCCTGGCGAGTCTGTCCAGGCCTCTCGGGGCAATGCTCACCCAGAAGGGCTCTAGGTGGGTCAGTCCAATTCTGAGCACCATGGAACAACTCCACCTTCATGTGGGTTTTTTAAAGTATTAAAACCAAAAAGAATAAAGGAAAAATTATCTGGCAGTAAGTATTTCACCAAAATATCTCATGTAGTTAGAGTGATTCATAGTACTTTTCAGAGCTGGTTTCTTAGATATTCTTAATCCTACCAGTAAATTCTAACCAGAACTGAACTGTGTACAATGTGTTTTCACATAGCTTGCCCAATGGCAACTGGAATTATCTGAATATCCAGAGAAAGGCGGCACCGAAATGTCTCTTGGTAACTGATTCTCTAAGAAAACGATCGCCTGCACTCTCTGGAAGTCGTCTACGCCCAACCCACTTCCCACCAAATAACATCCTTAACAAGACACCCAGGGTCCAGGAAAGAACAGCGCCTTCCAGCTGCCCCTCCTATCAGGAAAGTTACAAGCATCTGCTACTTGTCTTCTCCACGCCCCTGTGGAGATTGTCAGACGGTTCAGCACACACTCAGACTACAGGAATCCACTTGGATAGGCTCAGCTGTGAAATCATGAGGCTATAGCATTGTAATAATAAAAAGAGCACTGTCACATGCAGAGGGTCTGAGCCGCCTGTCACACCTGGCCCAGGAGCAGCTCTCTGCTCTCTGGCGAGCCACAGCCTGGGCCACCACTTCTCACTGAAAATAAGTTTAGGAGCTGTGAGACGCCTGCTGTGGCCATCATGTGCCTATCCACGTCCCCGTGCATGGACCCTGAGCCCAGGGCTGTCCATGGTCCTCCTGGACAGGGGAGGCGTCGCCTCCTCAAGGTGGCAGCACTAGGCGATGCCGGCACCCCAGTGCCTCCTCTCTCCCCAAGCCCCTCCACGCCCACCTCTCACAGTCAACACCACTGGCCGAGGAACTCCTACCGCCCTTCCTGCAGAGCAGCGCTCGCTGCCACCTGCCTGTGGGACCACGCATTCACCCTCGGTGCCTGCCCTTGCCGTCCAACTGGGAACCCCTGATGGCTAAGACCCCACCTGTTGTTATTTGTTCACCACTATATCCCAGCAATTCTCAGTAAATATGTTTACTTAAGTATTTATGGACTGAGCAATTTTTATGATATTGGTAGTTACAAAATAGTTCTCAAAAACAATTTTCACAAAATAAAAATAACATATCCACTTACAATACGGCCAAATTTAAGAACGATTTGTATGAATTATCTGAACACTAACAATAATGTTACCTGACTACTCTTGGTGCAGTCCTGTAGTCTAATACGTTTACTGGCCAGTGACCTCCAACCCTGTGCAACAGGCCCTGTTCTAAAGAATGTGTTCTCTTCAATGTAGTCATATTATTTTTAATTATCCACAAATCTCTTTACAGTTGCATTTTATGTAGTTGACACCACAATTTCAGTTTTGGAGGACAGTTCAGCGTGGGTAAAAGAAATGTGGACCTGAGTTGGGGTGCCATTACATCTGGCCCTCCTACTTTGAGGGTGGGGGAGGAGACCGTACAGGGGTCTTGGGTCTTAGAATTTGTTGACTTCTTCAATCAGCCCTACTGACCATAATGTACTTTTAAACTTTGTGTTACAGAAAATTCCAAACACACCAAAGCGGACGGAGAGGCACACCACCACCCTCATAACTACCAGCTCAAGGCCGGTCTAAAAAGCATGAAGGTCTCTGAGCATTTGCTATGAACACACCATTGACTTCCTGCTGAGATAAGGAAAAGCTCTCTTTAAGGAAAGAGCTAATTACCTAAAGGGGACAAGGCAGATGAAAAGTTCCCAAGGCGGGTTTGGGCAGCAAGCCGGACAGAGAGAGCACCTCCCGGGGGGAACAGCCCGAAAGCCGTTCTTGGGGACAGGGTCCTAGGTGGGCACATGTGTGGGGTGTCCAGATGGGTGGAGATGGGGGTGCACCAGTGGGTTCATTCATAAACCAGAAAGGATATATATTATATATGTATCTATAAATTCCCTTACAGATTAAATTAGCCTTTAGCTACTTGATAAGCAGAAAAGTACAGGAAGAGAACTTCATTTCAAAACATTTTATTCCTACAAAATAGTGTATCTTGCTTTTCTCCTCCACAACTACTAAAATCATGAATACTCGTGGCAATCATCATTGATAAAAAGGAACATTATTCTAAATGTGATAAAAAATGCAACACACTTCCTTATTGATTCTCATCCATGAAGTTCCCTCCTCTACAGGGAGGGTGACTGCCCAGTATTCTGACACCAGACAGTTTGTCATCATGCATGCAGTAAAGTTATGTAAATGATCTTAATTTTACCTCTTTTTAAAAGGAATACATATCTTAGAAAAAAGATTTATGAAAAGAAAAAATGACCCCATTATTGGAAGAGAATCACTTTCAATGCTATTATGCCACATTTCCAGTCATATACATTTACATGTGAATTTTTCTTCAAAAATAAAACTATAATAAGCCTTATCAGTAATCTTTTTTCATTCAGTGATATAATCATCCCACTATCACTAAATATTATTCTAAATCATTTAAAATACCCACATACTATTCTAGTATATGGATTACTACACCTGACTTGACTAATCCTCTACTGCTGAAAACCTTAGTTGCTTTCAGTGCTTTCCACTATTAGCAGCAGCTCAGCCAGGGACCACGGTGCTCCCCAAACCCCCATGTGGTCTCCTCCCCCACCCTCAAAGTAGGAAAGCCAGGTACAGTGGCACCCCAACTCAGGTCCATATTTCTTCTACCCACACTGAACTGTAATCCTGGTGTCAGCACCACCATGACTGACTTGCTTAAGTCCAGAATAGACTTTTTAATGGCCTGAATCACACTTTCATGTGACAGACCATCTCTGTGCCACCTCTGCTGCCACCAAAACTACTTCCAAAAGCACTTACTGTTGGGATGGAACATCTCACAGGTAAATCTCATCTTTGGTGGACTTAACGGGTAATCAAGTGGGAAGCTCAGGATGGCAGGAAATACACCAAACTCAAAACATGTGTCTTCTGGGCCCCTAGGAGACATAAACACATAGATACAACTTCAAGACATATTTTCAACTCCCACCACACTTTGGACCTGACTTAAGGGAATTCCTACTGCTTTACACAAACAGGTGAAGAGGCTATCTAACGAATCACGACAAATGGGCACTTTCTTCTGAATGGAGACAATGCCTCACCAGCCCACCCCCATCTGGCTGTCGGTGTTCAGCACCAGCACAGAGACCTAGCAAGGAGCGGGGCAGCAGGGTCTCTAGGGTAACTGGATCAGAGAAAGAACTAGTGGTGACCCTGCATGGCCCCAGGGCTCTTGTTTCTCTTTGCCTGTGGTACAATTACATTTTGGGATAAAGATATAAATGATGGCATGTGTTATGGCAAGATTCGACGTATTAAATAAATGAGGGGTTAGGGTTGTTATTTCAAAGGTTAGTTTTAGTTTTTAAATGTACTTAAGAAATTATTTTCTGACCTAAGAAACAGGTAAAGAGCACGCATGTGATCCTGACTGAGGCACCTACGGCAGGCCCAGTGGGCACACGGCATCGGCACTGCGAGCCCTGACCCACAGGCCTGAGCTCGGGGCCACAGCCTATGCCGACCCTGTCACTAGGCACACGCACGCCGTCTGCTTGGGTCACATTCTCCTCGTGGAGAAGGGCAGCAAAGAGCTAACCCAGTGCAAAAGGCTTGTCACGTTTTAAAACTATGTGTATAAATTAACACCATCTTGACCAACATGTAAGACAGGAAAGCCAGCAGAGAGGAGAGTGAGAGCCACCTGGCTCACAGCGTTTATAAGACATGAATTCAAGTCATTTTTTAAAATGGGAGACCACCTTCTGGTGTAGTTTCTCTAAGACAGAGCTGCGGAGCGGCACTGGACACCGGCCCCACGCAGGTGCTGGGCGTGACCTGCCACCTCACTAGTAAGAAAGGAGACCCCCTTCTCTCTAGTGACCTGGCAGCAGAAGTCACTTTGTCAACACCTCTCTGAGCGCCAGCCACACCCGCTAACCCTACAGCAGAAGGAGACCACGGCTGGGGCCCAGGCCGCGACAGACACAGCTCCACCTGGCGGGCCTGCACCTCCTAAAAGGGAGGATGGCTATGGCGTGGGAAAAGGTAACCAGATTTATTTATTCTGTAACAACTTTTATCTAAAAAACCTGTTTTCTTAAAGCACAAATTGTTTTAAATCTTGATGGAATTATTCTGATTGAGTGACATTAATAAATATATAGAGTTGCAAATATCCAAAACAATATTTATCTCTACATTAAAGGACAAGATACATTCAAAAAGAAACTGAGCAGCTTTGTTTTCATTTGGTGACACCCAGGGTTTTGATGGCACTTGACGATGGGTCCCAGGACCCCAGTAAAAGGGTCAAAACGAAAACAAAGCAAGAAGTGTTTGTTTTTTCCATCTGAAGAGACTGACCTTGACTCCTACCTTTTGAAGACATACCAGCAGATGGCCGCTCTGTACTGGAGGGTGAGCGCTGCTGCATGGCAGCGCCTGGAGCCCTGGCATGAAGCCAGGACAGGGAAAGCCTGCAAGGAACAGGCAAGTGGGACTCCCAGAGGGGGGCCGCACCGGCACAGGGTGCCTGCACCACCCGGCAGCTCCCCAGGGCAGCCCCAGCCCTGCCCTGTTCTCCCTGAAGGACACCCTCCAAGCCCTTTCCTCTGCACAGGCCCAGAAGACTGTGGACAAGAGACTGACAGCCATCGTACGCCTCCTTCCTAGGAGCTCAAAGTAGATGAGAAACGCCACCATCGGCACTGCACACATCCCCCGGATGAGGCGTCAGGAAGCAGCGTCTCCCTTCACTGGTGGGCAAAGCTGGGAGGCCCATGGACCCGGTCAAGGTCCTGAGCTGGGTTAGGAGAACACAATTCCAACACACTCAGAGCGCTGGGCAAACACAGGCACTGCCGTGGAAAGGAGCACTGTCTCGTGTCAGGAGCACTCGCCACCACCTTGGTATTCTGGCACCTTTGGTATTTCTCCAAAGAGAAAAACCGTCTGGGTCACGTTCTTGGAATTGAACCAATGGTATTTGCCCAATACTTGGATAACAGTTCTTTGTTTCTTGTGAAAGGGCTTTCTTTAAAATAGAAGAATCCACTGGGTCATCTGCATCCGCAGAAGTGTGATCAAACACTTCCTGAAGTGCCCCCACATCTTACATATCAAAGCTGTTTTCAAACATTCTGGTTCACTCCTGGTTTGAAGTTGGGGTTCATTCCCTTCCAGGACGCCCTGGTGCTTGGGACAGGCACGCTGGTGGGCCCACATGTGCAGGGGTGCGCTTGCTGACTTTATGGAAAACGCTATCAGTAAATTCCTGAACCAAGACAGGACACATAATCAGTGTTGTTTTTGTACAAGTTTTACTGTCACACTCCAGCAGTCTCACTTGTCCCCTTCACTTACAGGCCTCATCTCACATCCTCAGGAAGACAGAACTACAAGAAGAAAGGAAACTGAACACATCGGTGGGAGGCAAACACAAACGATCTCCATCTCACTGACAGAAACAATGGCCTAAACTACAATGGAGCTCCGAGATATGCACTTTACTTTCTGAGACTAGTACTAGACTAAGTGCAGCCATGCTCTCCTCTGCAAAGGACATCACGGTTCCCACAGTTCACTTTGAGTTCCAGGCTCTTGGGAAATTCGATGCTGAGGAGCGAACAGGAGCGAACACCAAGCAGCAGTAGCCCTGGTCTAATCTGGGGCACTGGGTGCCACTCACTCCACACCCAGGGGGCTGCCTAGCACAGATGGCCTGGCAGGGGCTGCTTGGGCCATGACACCAGGAATTACCCGTCACTCGCAGAGCCAGTGGGAACTGGAGAAACGCTCCTTAGTCTCCCAATGTTAAACTCAAGGGAAGAACAATTCTGAGCTTTTTAAACTGGATGTAGACAACAAAAGCAGCCCACAAGCCTGCGTACGGAAGGCAGAGACCAAAGAGCTTCACCCTGAGCTGGGCGTGCCTGGGGCCGAGCAAGCCACTGCCTGCCAGGCATGTTCCAGAATGCAGCCTGCCAGTCACTCCAGCTGCCGCAGCTGTTGAAGCCACCGCCCACTTCTGCTGTTGTTCCCTTTTCAAGTTTTGTCACAGCACAGGGACAGAAGGCCTCAAATATACATATGACAAGGTTTTAAATAATGGAGACTGTAAACCCATCCATTAGTACTTGCACAGCATTACAAAGGGGTGTTTGTTCTCCAAAGTCCTAACCACCTGAAGCATTAAAAAGAAAGGCCAGCGCTTCAGGAACACTCTCCACCCGCAGGGAAGGGGTGTGGTGCCCTGCGCTGTGGACCCCACACACGCAGAGCACCTCACAGGGTGGGCAGGAAGGGGGCCTGGTGTCAGAGCCTGGGACCAAGAAGAGGCAAAACCACCTTGAAAAAGGAGAACAAAATTGGAGGACTCACACCTCCCAATTCAAAACTTAGTATAAAGCTACAGTAATCAAGGCTTGGCACTGGTGCGAAGATAGGCATAGGTGAAGGGGACATAAGTCAGAGGCACAAATTAACCCTTACATTTACAGTCAGTTGATTTTTGACAAAGATGTCAAGACAATTCAAATCAGAAGGATTTTCTTTTCAACCAATGGTGCTGGAACAACTGGACAGCCACATGCAAAAAATGAACTTAAGAGTCCTACCTAACAACATACCCAAAATTAACTCAAAATTGATCAAAAAGCCAAATAAAAGAGCTATAACAACTTTTTTTAAAAAAAAGAGAGAACTCTGATCCATAAAAGGAACTGTACTTCATCAAAATTAAAAACCTTGAGCTTCAGAAGATTCCATTAAAAAAATAAAATGAAAAGCTGCAGACTGGGAGAAATATCTGGAAATCATTCATCAGATAAAGGACTTGCATGTGGAATAAGACACCCCAATTAAAAAGTGCCCCGAAGATGATATATGCATTGCTAATGAGCCCACGAAAAGACGCCCTCAGTCGCCAGGGAAGTGCAGGTAGATCCCCAGTGAGAGCCACCTCACACCTACCAGGACAGCTGTCCTGCGCCACTGAGCTGCTCTGGGGGCAGGGTGGCAGTTCCTGCACCGTTTACATCAGACACGCACCTGCTCTGCATCCCAGCACCCCGGCTCCTACACGCCTAGCAGGCGGTAGCGATGACGTAAAGGCACTTGTCCACCAGGCTGACATGTGTGTGAGCAGCAGTACTGCTCATGAGCGCCGAGTGCTGTCAACTGGCGAGCGGCCAGTCCACGCGGGCAACACCTCTCAGCAACAAGGGAAACTTCTGCACTGCAGCAACAACAGGCAGGCGTATGAAGCTGAGGAAAAGCCGACACAGGAAGACTGGCTATTTTATGATTCTGTGTGTAGGGAAAGAAAGGCCAGAAAAGGCCAACCTACAGGGCCAGGCAGTAGATAGGAGGCTGCTATGGGGAGGGAATGGGGCCCTCTGGGGACACGTTCTAAAACTGGACCACGTAGCTGACGGCTGTAGGGCTCTGTAATTGACTAAAATCATAGACTTATATACTTACTACATGTAAAACCTATGGTACACAATTCTCTCAGTAAAGCTGTCAGAAATTTTACACTGGGGAAAGTGCCAGGGTTTCCCCACCTGGCAGTGCTGACATCCTGGGCCAGACGATTCTGCGTTGCTTGTGAGGGGCTGCCTCGTACTCTGCAGGGTGTGCACAGCCGCCCACTAGATGCCAGCAGGAGCACCCCCCCACCCCCCAGCCCCAGTGGGACAACCACAATGTGTCCAGCAGCACCACACGCACACCAGGGACAGTCATCCCAGCTGACAACGCTCTGTGACATGCTTTTCCACTCAGTGACACGACACGGACACCTCTGTATGCCAGCTTTTTGTGCTACATGGAGTCCACTGTTCGGATGCTCTTCAGATCATGCTGGTTAATGGCGTTTCCATTTACTACTGCAGTGAATGTCGCGATAAGAAACACCTCTCCAGTGGGGGTC